GCCATCAACGAGCTGCCCCAGGGGTTCTGAGGACTGGAGAGGCCGCCACGGCAGTCTCGCCAGGAGTTGTCATTGTCTCCTCGACGCTGCTGGGCTCGGCGAGATACCTCCAGCCCTGGGGTGGGGCCCCACGTCGTTTCTTAGCTCGTCGAGTCTCCGTGGGCGAGTGCACAACGTTTGCCATGGTCTCGGTGTGCCTGGAGGGCACGATAGGACCCCAGGGGCCCAACAGGCAGCTGCTGGACGACATCCACGCGTGGTGCGCGCACTTGGACGAGCCCTTCATCACCGGGGGCGATTGGAACATCGAGGCCAGCGAACTGGCAACCTCAGGTTGGCCTGAGCTCATGGGAGGAGCGGTCCTGGCCCCTGGGTTGGCCACATGCAACGATAACGGGTACGAGTATTTCGTCATCTCGCGGGCGCTGGAGGACCTGGTGGACTCCATCAAGTGCCACGCGGACACCCCCAGCGGACCGCACCAAGTCGTGTCGCTCGTGCTACGGGGCTGCTGGAAGCGGCCCATGATTCAGACGCAGCGCGCGCCGAAGGGCTGCGAGCTGGAGTTCGAGGCTGACGAGGAGGCCAGGACCAAGCGCGACCTGCTAGTGGCCACCCTCCCCTGGCCACCGCCTGGCTCAGGCCTGGAGGGGGCAGTCAATGGCTGGTTTGATCAAGCCGAGGAGGCACTGCAGGCTTTGCATGGGATGCCCAGCAGTGGGGCAAAGTACTACAAGGGCAGGTACAAGGGCCTCAGGACGGCTTCGGTTCCTCTGGAGGCCAAGGTTCAGGAGAACCGTTTTGAAAGGGCATCAGCGGTCACCTACCTCTGGCCTTCGCTGCGCCACCTTTCCAAGAGAAGGTGGGACTTGGGACCTATCGGGCCCAGCGACCTACCTGGCGGCTACAGGGCCAGGAGAGCGCAGCAGCTTTTCGAGGCAGCCAGTCGCTTGAAGGTCACATTCCAGGAGCAGTCCATCACGATGTTCGATGGCACGGTCTCCTCCAATTTCTGGGACGAGATGGACCTCCAGTCTGAGTTAGGCTAGACATTCTTACTGGTGATGGAGCAGGTGGTTGCCAAGCACAGCAAAGAGGATGCAAAGGCCAGCAGACTCAAGTGGGACGACTTCTCGGAGCAAGCCTTCGAACGTCAAGGATCGCTGGCCCACCGGGTTATCAAGAAGACCCATGGAGGGCCCAACCCCGTCCTCGAGACAGGCACGGTGGACCGCGCTCTGGTGGGCCAGCCTGCTCTGGAGAGGGTGTTTGCCGACTGACTCCCCATCTGGTCAGACCCCAGTCGGAGCGGCCAGGAGCACCCAGGCCTATGGGCCGTCGGCGAGTGGGTGCTGCCGCCGATTACAGTTGATGACATCAAGCTCGTGGCGCGCAAGTTCTCCAGGAACACGGGCCTGGGCTGGGGCAACTTCCACCCGCGATTGCTGCTTGAGGCTGGAGAGGACATCCTGGCCAGGCTCGCCAGTTTGCTCAACTCCTGGGAGTGTGCCCCATACTGTGGCGAGATGTGGACCGTGATCATGGTCTTCTTGCCGAAACCAGATGGAGGGCTCATGCCGCTGCTTGCCAGGATTTGGTCAAGAGTACGCCAGGGCTACACGGCCAAATGGGAGAGGTCGCTGGAGCAACCCCCATTTTGGGGGACCTCGGCCTCGAGAGGATGTGACAAGGCGGCCTGGCTCCACAACGTGTTCGTGGCCCATGCCAAGCACGTGCAGGAGGAGGCCGCATCCATCTACATGGACTTACAGAAGTACTACGAGCACATCGGCCACGCCGAGCTCAAGGTGGCGGCGCGGGCCTGGGGGGTCGACCTGGGGCTCCTCAGGGCTCTCTGCGTCGCCTACCTGGCGCCGCGTCGGGCGCGCATCAGCTCCTGCCTCAGCGAGGCCGTGGCGCCCAACGGCACGGTGGTGGCTGGCTGCTCCTGCGCCACGGCGCTGGCGAAGCTGCTCCTGCTTTCGGCCCTGCGGGCCGCGGCGACAGCGGCGCCTATCGCCAGGCTGCTCAACGCGGTGGACGACGTGTCTGCCCACGTTACAGGGCCCCGCTCGATGGTAGCCCAGCAGCTGGGAGCCACCTACAAGGCCTTTAGCGAAAAGGTGCGAGAGGCCAACCTACAGCTGAGCAGGCACAAGACCAAGGCGCTGGCTACAAGCAAGGAGTTGCGCCAGGCGCTGATGCGGCAGCCTGGCTGGGACCTCGGACCCGACGACTTCGTGGACATGCACAGGGACCTCGGCGGAGATGCGATCTCAGGGTCGTACCGCCTCGTCACTACTGCAGCAATAAGAGAGCAACAGGCGAGAGCTCAGGGCAGGAAGCTCACCAGCCTCTTCCGCCCTGGCCTGGACCGTGCAAAGGTCTACCGTGCAGGCCCCACGGCCAAGGCCGCCTGGGGCGCGGCCATCATGGGCGTCCCGAATGGCAGGTTGCGGCAGCTGCGAGCCGGGGCGGTCAAGGCGCGAGGGCGCCTGCCCCGAGGGGCCGCCTTGGGGCTGGCCAGCCTGGCCCAGACCAATGGCTGGAAGCGGGACCCGCTGACCATCGTCACCAGGACCGCGCTCATGGCCTACGTCGAGGTGATCTGGGCTTCGTTGCTGCCCGAGGCGGCAGCCCGCTCCTGCCTGGCTAGGGGCTTGGAGCTCGCCCAGCAACGGCAGCCTTGGCGGCAGGTCAAGGACCCCATCTGCGCTCTGGTCCTCACCTTGGAGCGCGTCGGCTGGGGCTTCGTGCAAGGCGACCCCTACCTGATCCACGACAGCACGGGAACCGCCTACGACGTCAGGAGGCACTCTCCTGCCTTTTTTGGCAGCCTGGTGGAGCAGCATTGCCGCGTCGCCATCGGGCTGGAGGAGGTGGCCAGGCAGGGCCCCAGCATGTAGGGCTGGAGCATGCCACCCTTCTGGCAACCGATCCTTGATCTTGCCAGTCATCGATCGGAGGTTTGGGACCGGCACCACCAACGGGCGCTGCGCAGCCTCATCCAGAACACCTACTGGTGCCAGGCGAGGGTCGCAGCGGCTGACAGTTCGCGAGCGGCGCCGTCCAACTGCCAGCTCTGTGGTTTCAAGGACGGCTCGCTCTTCCACAGGCGTTTCCGCTGCGAGGCGCATGAGGCCTGGAGGCGTGACTACTTGGAGGAGCCGCTGCGTGCAGCTGCTGACCGAGTGGAGGGCTTGGGCTACCCCTTCACCGACCTGTTCGCCAGGGGCCTCTCCCCCGACGTCTCGGAGCTGATGGACAGGCAGCGGACCATTTCGAGAGTACGGCGAGCTGGTACACTCTGGGACCGCACCTCCACGGACACCACGTCTTTGTGGACGGCTCGGGCCTCGACCAGGCCTACCCGCGCCTGCGCACCGCGGGATGGGCCGTGGTGGTCTATGACGAGGCCTACAGGCTGGTGGCAGAGGTGCGGGGAGCGGTTCCGACTGCGGTAGCCCCCGAGCAGCTGGCCAGGGACGGTGAGGACTACGCCGTCAAGATCCTCACGTCGCAGGTGGCAGGAGGCAGCTACAGGCTTTACATCGACTGCGTGGCCACGGCGCGCTGCGCGGCCAAACCTACTGCGGCGGCCGCCGCCAGTGGCCAGCGAGCGCATCTGTGGGCTGGCCAGGCAGAGCAGCTGCATGACGCGACGGTGGTCAAGATCAAGGCCCACCTAGGCCCCAAGGCGGTCGCAGATGGCCTCGTCTCGCAGTTCGAGCTGGACGGCAATGCTCGCGCCGACATGCGAGCCAAGCAGGGCGCGGCGTCGGCCAGGGCGAACCCCGATGACATCCTAGTGGTCGAGGGCTGCCAGGCCCTGGCTCGCCAGGCGGCGCGCTTCGCTGCCGCGCACGAGGTGCAGCTGTCGCGCACCAACATGCTCGACTCAATGGGCGTGGTGGCACTGAGGCTGACCGACCTTGGTGAGTGTCCACAGTGGCCTGATGAGTTCGAGGATGAGGCTGAGGGTGCCGTAGGTGAGACCGCGGCCAGTGCCTGTGCAGATGTGGGGAGCACGACGTCGGGGCTTGACGTTGTGCCCGCGGGACTTCATCCCTGGCGCATCGGCGGGCGCGCCTTGCTCGCGGCGCCCATTTTCGTTGATGGAAAAGCGCGCAGCCCAGCAGTCCTGCGGCTGCCCTCTCTTTTATGCAACGTGCCGTGGGTATGTTTCTGATAAGCGGGGGCGAGCACTCCAGGATAAGTGTCCAGGAGGCTTCTTGGGAGCTTGCGGTCGCCTTCCGAGGCCGAGATCGGTTTTTGGTCTGGGCATTTCCCCCCCGAGCCTCCTGTGGTGGCCCAAACGGGCGGCCCGACGGCTGCTAGCCCTAAGAGGCCCAGCGTCCTGGAAGTCTTGTCGTCTTTCGGGCTTCGGCTGGCTGGGGCCCAGAGTCTGGGGTCCAGAGCCCTGGAGGCCAGGGCAAAGGCCCAGGCCCGCAGGGCCCGCGGTCTGTCGGGCCCCGAGGACCCCCTCGACCTCTCAAGCGCTGCCCCTGGCGCGGCCGTGCCAGCCGTGCCAGGCTGGGGCTGAGTCTGGGAGGCTTGGGTGGTCCCAAGGGTTGAATTCGTGTGCAGGGCCCTTCTGGGTCGAGTCTAGCCTCCTCCTCCTCCTCCTCCTCCTCCTCCTCCTCCTCTCCTCCTCCTCCTCCTCCTCCTCACTCCTCCTCCTCCTCCTCCTCCTCCTCCTCCTCCCTACTCCTCCTCCTCCTCCCTTCCCTCCTCCGCCTCTTCCTCCTCCTCCTCCTCCTCCTCCTCCTCCTCCTTCTCCTCCTCCCCCCTCCTCTCTCTCTCCTCCTCCTCCTCCTCCTCCTCCTCCTCCTCCTCCCTCCCTCTCCTCCTCCTCCTCCTCCTCCTCCTCCTCCTCCTCCTCCGCCTCCTTCCTCCTCCTCCTCCTCCTCCTCCTCCTCCTCCTCCTCCTCCTCCTCCTCCTCCTCCTCCTCCTCCTCCTCCTCCTCCTCCTCCTCCTCCCCCCCCCCCCCGCCTGCCAGGCGCCGCCCTGGGTGCTGACGCCGGCCGACGTGCGGCGGCGCCTGAAGCATAGGCGGCCGCCCTCCGCAGGGGGTGGACTTCTTGAAGTTCGGCTGTTGGCAGCCGTCGGGCGCGCCTCGCGCTCCTCCACCAGGGGACCACACGCGAGCCCTGCACCCTACCCCCCACGATTTCGGCTGTCGGCAGCCGTCGGGCGCGCCTCGCGCTCCTCCGCCAGGGGGCCACATGCGAGCCCTGCACCCCGCCCCCCCACGATTTCTGAGGGGGAGGGTGGGGTTCACTTCTCGAAGTTCGGCTGTTGCAAGCCGTCGGGCGCGCCTCGAGCTCCTCCACTAGGGGACCATATGCGAACCCCACCCTCCCCCTCAGAAATCGTGGGGGGTAGGGGTAGGGTTCGCATGTGGCTCCCTATCCACGGGCACGCAGGCCAAGACGTGATCGGGAGCTGACGGTGCCATGGCAAGCACGGCGGAGGGAATAGGGGAACCCACACATGTTTGTCTCACCACACGTTGAGTGTGCACCTGGGTCTGCGGGGGGATGGGGCGCGCTGGGCTGCCTCGTGCACGATGGATGGCGCCGTGGGTTTCGCGCCGATTGCGGGGAGGTTTGCGCATTGGCGGCCACGGTTGCGCGGTAATCGCCCACTGCCCGGTGGCGGCAACGGCCAGGTCCTCCATGCCCAGCCATGCGCGGTGATTTGCGCGGTGACGACCACGGTTGCGGCCACGGTTGTGCGGTGGGGTCGCGCAATGCCGGCCACGGGTGTGCACCAGTTTACAGGGCGGGCCCAGTACCCCAAGAGTGCGCGCAGCTCTGGGGGGAGACAGCGGTCTTGTTCTGATGATTTTCGAGTGGCCGTCTCAGGGCGTCTCGGATGCCTCTTCAGGCCCTCTATAGAGGCACTCCTGGTGTGCCCACGCGCATCGGCGATGCGGTGCGAGCTCGGCGCCCCAGTTCGCGCCTCCCGATCGCGGTGGCCACCCGCGCAGCGAGGGCCCTCCAGGCCGACGGCGAGTGCACCCGGTGGTGGAAGCGCGGGTGGGCGGCTGGGGGAAAGGTTTGCGATCTGTTCGTGGTCTCTGGTGGTTTGTCCAATGGGGGTCAAGTCCACGTGGGTCGACAGGTATGCTCCGACTGCTCCACACTCCCCAGCTGGGATCGGTTTCCACGCCCAGGAAAAGCAGGATGAGGAGGCGGAGGAGGAGGAGGAGGAGGAGGAGGAGCGAGCGAGCGACCTCGTCAGCATTTCGGCGTCAGCGCACGGATCACGGGCCTGGGAGGATGGGCGTCCGGCAGCGTCCTGTTTTGCTGCTGGTTCAGTCTGCGTGCGAGGCTGAGGCAGTCCGTGGGGGCCTACTGGGCCTGGGGCCCCTCGCCGGTCCTCAGCCGTCTCGAACCTCCGTCCGACTCGTTCGCGAAAACAGAAGGCGAAACTCTGGGCTCGACCCTCCCAAACCTGCAAGCAGCAAGAGTAATTGAGATGTGGACTGTAGGGCACTATATCTGACAATGTATTACGCGCATCACCCGTTCAGTGTGCTATGTTGTATAGCGTGCGTGCAAGCCCGAGATTATTTAAGCGATATGCTACAATAAGCGATATGCTACAATGCGCGCACACAGAAACCGCGCTCACGTGACTGGGCAAGCAGAGAAATCCATGACATGTGAATTCAAAGCGAGGTAGTCGCAGGTCGGGGCCACCCAGTGGTATCTGAAAGAGAAACCGCCATCATACTGGCCACTGAAATAATCATCTTGCCACAGATGTCGCCGAGCGTGGCGTAGCAGATGGCGTGGGAAAAGAACTTGCAATTTCGATCCCATCCGTTTCAGCATCTCCCTCGCTCGAGCACTGCCTTTCTCAGCCCCCCGGAACCCAAAGACTTTGATTTCTCATAAGGTGCTGACGGAGTCGTATAAATAACGACCTCCACTCTCTAGTCGGCATGGTTTATGGTTAAGACTTCGCCCCCTGCTCGTCATCCGCCTCCTCGCGTCCCGCCCCCTCGCCCCTCTCGTCATCCGCCTCTCGTCGTCCGCCCCTCGTCGTCCTCCTCCTCGCCCCATCTCGTCCTCCGCCTCCTCCGCGGGCCTCGCGCCCCGCCTGCGGACGAAGGCACCTCGGCCTGCACGGCCTGGAAGTGGTGTGGGCGAGGTGCCGGGGCTGGGGCGAAGAACACAGCACTCGCTGCACCAACTCACCCAGGTCCCCCCTCCATCCCGGTCTGTGATGGGAGTGGTGAAGTCTAGGCCTCCTAGATGGGGTCGGAGCAGATGGGGTCGGAGGCTCGCGCCGCATCGCCGATACATCGGCGATGCATCGGCGATGCGGCGCGATGCGGAGCCCATTTTCTCCACGCTGGCGTCGCGGATGCGTCGCCGACGTCACCGATGCGTCGCCGGTGCATCGCCGATGCGGCGGGATTCTCCGACCACAACTACTCGGACCCCATGTTGTAGGAGGCCTCTATGAAGGGGGCATGCGGCCAGGAGAGAGGATGCACATTGAACGGGAGGGGGGAAAGAGGAGCAGAGGAGGGCAGAGCGGATAGTGCAGGGCGGGATGGCGGGCGGTGGGAGGGGTGGGAGGCTCCGGAGCCCAGTTTCGTCCGAAATCTGCGCGGTGCCGAGGCAAGAGCGACACTGGCGTGAGAAAAGTTTGGAGCCAATGAGGAGGAGGAGGAGGAGGAGGAGGAGGAGGAGGAGGAGGAGGAGGAGGAGGAGGAGGAGGGGAGGAGGGGGAGGAGGAGGAGGAGGAGGAGGAGAAGGAGGAGGAGGAGGACGGGGAGGACGGGGAGGAGGAGGAGGAGGAGGAGGAGGCGAATGAGGACAAGGAGAAGGAGGAGTGGGAGGAGGCGTGGCGAAAAAAAAAGATCGCGAGTGTGGGAGGAGAGGGAGGGGGTGGCGGGGAGAGGGTGAGAGAGTGCGGGGGGGGGGAGGGGAGCGGACCCTGTCAGCTCCGGCCTCGGGGGCTTGCCAGGGAGCACCAGAGCGGGACAAGAGGACTCCAGGACGGCCCAAGAGGGCTTGCAAGACGGCCCAAAGAGGCCCCCAGGACGGTCCAAGAGGCCCCCACGACGGCCCAAGAGGACCCCAAGAGAGCCGCGAGAGGCCCACTGGATGGCCTCCGAAGTGCCCAGAGGCCGCGCCCTCCCACAGGTGCTGCGACTGGGACGGCGTGGGCCCGGGCGAGGAGCGCCTGCGCGCGGCGGAGGCCCACCTGTCGTCGCGCGCGGGCGAGCCTCGCGCCGCGCGCGAGGGCCCAGAAAATCGCGGCGCCTGTGCCCCACCCTTGCGTGCTCGAGAAGGGGGGGGTGGAGGGGACTTGGCTCCCTTCTCCACCCCGCTGGGCATCCTCCCTCCCTCCCTCTCTCCTCTCCCTCTCCTCTCCCTCCCTCTCCCCACTCCCCCTCTCCCTCCCTCCCTCTCCCTCTCCCTCCCTCTCCCTTCTCTCTCTCGTCTCTCCCTCCTCTCCCACTCTCCTCTCCCCCTGCCTCCCTCTCCCTCCTCGCCTTCGCCCTCGCCTCCCTCCTCCTTCCACCTCTCCCTCCCTCCCCTCCTCCCGCCCTCTGCCTCTCTCCCTCCCCCCCTTCTCCTGCCCCTGCCTCGGCCGCACCCTCCCCAGAAGCGCCGCGCGTGCCCCATCCCCACGTGCCCGAAGAAGGGGGAGAAGCCCAACGCTCCCTCCTGCAAGCTCTTTGTTGCTGATTTGGCAGGCCTGGCCCCGCATTCGGGGAACAAACAGTGACATAAACATAAAAACTCGGAGGTCCGCGCCGCCGGGGGGCTCCAGCGCCGATCCGAGAAATCCGCGCGGACCTCCGAGTTTTTATGTTTGTGTGACTTGTTGTTCCCCCAGTGCATCGCGGGCGGTCCAGCAAGACAACCTGAGCAGCCGACAGCTCCCTTATGGCGGCAGCAGCCGGGCACCGCTCGCGAGGACCGCCAGGGCCCAGGGGGCCTTTCCTCTCTTCTGCGGGGGGGCAGCGTCGCAGCGATGCTGCGAAGGGCCAGGGGCGAGCTCCCCCTCTTTTACTACATGTTTTTGGTGTAAGAGAACGAGAGAGAGAGAGAGAGCCAACATAAAACATGAGCAGCTGATAGTCGCGGCATGGCGAGGCGCGGCGCGAGAAGAGCCCGGCGGGGCCCTCGCAGCCTCCTCACCGCCAGGGGAGGGGCGTCGCACCGTCCGCAGAGCAGCGGCTTCGCACCCTCTGGCGGCGGCCAGCTGTCCCTGTCCAGGCCCTACCTCCTCCTCCTCCTCCCCCTCCTCCTCCTCCTCCTGCTCCTCCTCCTCCTCCTCCTGCTCCTCCTGCTCCTCCTGCTCCTCCTCCTCCTCCTCCTCCTGCTCCTCCTCCTCCTTTTGCAACTGGAGCGCTGCACATTGCAGGCGGGTGCCGTTGTCGTCGTCGTCGTCGCTTTCGCTCGCCGATGGCGGCGCCACCCCCAAAGCCGGGACAGCCACAAGGAAAAGCTCGCCAGTCCAGGGTTTGAGGTCGCACGTGACGTGAGGATTCCCACTCCCTGCGCTTTAGAAGGAGGCAGCGTCTTGGTCAGCCCTCGTGCTGTTTCCAGCCCAGGTCAGTTCCCCTCCAGCTCAGCCCTGGCCACCTTGTTGATTCTGTTTCAGGTCCGTTCCAGCCGCAGCTAGTTTTCCTGTCGAGGCCACTCCCGTTAACATTGGATGTGTATTTTCACTTGTTCCAGTTCCTGTGCCCGGAAGATCTCTTCCGTGAATTCTTAGATGTTGCCTCGGAGTGATTATGGTTGCCCTCAACGAGTTCGGGAACGTCGCCCCGGCACTGTTTTGGCAACATACGGGAATACTGGTAGCGCGTTCCGCTTGTTATGTCAGGCCGTGTCTGGCTCACGTGATTTCATCTCAGGCCAGGTGCTTTCGGGTTTGCTTCGGCGTCCAGCACGGTCCGACCAGCACGTCCCTTGATGGTGCCGACTTGCAGTCGACAAGTGTCAAGTATCTCATGTTAAGTCAGGCCAGTCCCTCTACAGGAGGAATCTTCGAACACAGTTACACAGTCTGGGGACGATGTTTCTACTACTGTTGGTCATGTTTGAGTTAGTTTTGGGCATTTATTATTGTTCGTCCAAAATCCGCCTGTAGGGGGACATGCCCGACCTAAATCGAATGGCCTTCGGCCCATCCCGCCACCGTGCTTGGGTTGTGAGTCAGAAGGTCAGAGTTCTCAGGGATGCTTCATGAGGTCTCTTCGGAGCGCTCTCGGGGCCTCTTGGGGGCAGTTCTGGAGCCTCTTGGGAGCCTCTTGGGGGGCCTCTTGGGGGCCTCTTGGGGGCCTCTTGGGGGCCTCTTGGGGGCCTCTTGGGTGCCTCTTGGGTCCTCTTGGGGGCCTTCTGGGGGTCCCTTGGGACCGAGGACTCGAAATGTCCGCTTGAGCCCCCTCTTGGAGACGTCTTTGGGGCCTCTTGGGCCGTCTTGGGCGCCTCTTGGGCCGTCTTGGGGCCCTCTTGGGTCGTTTGGGGGCCCTCTTGGAGGACTCTTGGGGCGATCTTGGGGATCTCTAGAACCGCCTGGGAAGCCGAAAAGGCGAACGCCAAACACACTCAAACACCCAAGGAAGGATAATGATTTAATGTGTGCCTCTAGGGCTCCGCCTGGGAGGCCTCTCAGAGGCCTCTTGGGCCATCTTGGAGGCCCCTCGGGCCGTCTGGGGGTCATCTTGAGCGCCTTGCAGCGATCGTTCCGCGACTCGGGGCCCTCCCGGACCGCCTTGGGGGCCTATTGGGCCCCTCTTGTCCCGTGTTGGGGCCCTCCTTGGGCTCGAAACAGTCACGCCGCGACAAGCCGCGACGAGTCCGAGGGGGCACGCGGGAAGTCCCAGGAGATTTGGCAGCTTGGGCCCCGCGCCCCATAAGAACCCTCAGGAACGAGATGAATTAAAGGGTTTGGAGGTTAGGACAAGGTCCTGAGCGTACGCCCGCTTCGTGCCCAGAGGCACGGTGGCGGAGATGGAAGTGAACGGAATGGCTCGATTAAAGGCCGATTGCAGAGGGCCTGGGTACCCGAGCGTCGAACACCTGCCAGCGGACCTTGGTAGGTCATGTATCATCATGCATCGGGTCCTTCGGCGTTGGCGTAATACGTCTGGCTGCCTCCTGCTCGTTGTCCTTCCATGCTCCTCAGGAGGGGGGGAGAGGAGGAGGAGGAGGAGGAGGAGGAGGAGGAGGAGGAGGAGGAGGAGAGGAGGAGGGAGGAGCAGGAGGAGGAGAGAGGCAGGAGAGCAGGAGGAGGAGCAGGAGGAGTAGGAGGAGGAGCAGGAGGAGGAGGAGGAGGAGGAGGAGGAGGAGGAGGAGGAGGAGGAGGAGGAGAGGGAGAGAGAGAGGATAGGAGAGGGAGGAGAGAGAGGAGGAAGTGAGAAGAGAGGAGAGGGAGAGGAGAGGAGAGGAGAGGGAGGAGAGGGAGAGGAGAGGAGAGCAGAGAGAGGAGAGGAGAGGAGAGGAGGAGGAGGAGGAGGAGGGAAAATAGGAGAAGAGAAGATAAGAGGAGATCATGAGGAGGAGCCAGAGTTGTGGCAACGAGAAGGGAACAGAAGGGAAAAGGGGGAGAAGGAGCAGGTGGAGAGGAAGGAGGAGAGGGACAAGCGTGATCCGAAGAGGTGTTGGCGCTGCCGCAGGGCATCCTTCCGGGCCAAGTGCCTGCCCAGTGGTCCCTACAAGATTTGGTGTTCCATGCGCGGAGCGCCGCCTTGGAAGACGAGCGCCCCCTTGGTCCTTCAGATCCCGCGGAAGCTCCGTTGGGAAAGACACCGCTCTCCTCCTCCTCCTCCTCCTCCTCCTCCTCCTCTCCCTCCTCGTCCTCCTCCTTCGCCTCCTCCGCCTCGTCCCCTCCCTCTCCTCCTCCTCCTCCTCCTCCTCCTCCTCCTCCTCCTCCTCCTCCACCTCTTCCCCTCCTCCTCCCTCCTCTTCCTCCTTCTCCTCCTCCTCCTCCTCCTCCTCCTCCTCCTCCGCCTCCTCCTCCCTCCTCTCCTCCTCTCTCCTCCTCCTCCTCCTCCTCCTCCTCCTCCTCCTCCCCCCTCCTCATCCGCCTCCCCTCCTCCTCCTCCTCCTCCTCCTCCTCCTCCTCCTCCTCCTCTCCTCCTCCCCTCCCTCTCCTCCTTCTCCTCCTCCTCTCCTCCTCGTCCTCCTCCTTTTTCTTCCCCTCATCCTCCTCCTCCGCTTCCTCTTCCTCCTCCTCTCCTCCTCTTCCTCCTCCTCCTCCTCCTCCTTTTCCTCCTCCTCCTCCTCTGCCTCCTTCTCCGCCTCCTCCTCTTCCTACCCTTGCTCCTCGGCCTCTCATAAGGAATGCGAGCCTGTGGACCTCCAGAACTCGACGGGGTGCTCAGCGACAGCCCAGCTCTGGACCAGAACCACCATCCTTCCGTGCGGCTGTGGCGGAGTACGGTCTTGACGAAGCCGCGAGAGTTCACTTAGAAAAGGAGCCGCCCTCCGCCCGTGCCGCTGCTGCACAATGCAAAAAGAACAGTACAACTGTCCAAGTGTGGCCATCGATGTCCCTCTGCCTTCTCGCCCTGTTCGTCCTCTTCCTCCTCTTCCTCTCCTCCTATCCTTCAGGCGAACAGCCCCGCGAATCTCCGAACCGAGCTTCGGCCACGCTCGCGGGGCATACTTTCTGCGACTGGCGACCGTGGTCTCTGGTGGATGCCATCGATTGTTAATCGTTCATTACCGTTGTTGCGTGGGGAATCAGTGTGGCAATCGATTGGGAGGACGTATCAGACGCGAGCCCCCCTGATGTTTAACGAAGCGAACTCCAGCTGTATAAGTGATGCACAAGAATTCACTGGATATGTTGATGAAGTCTCCAGCGAGAGGCTCATGTTGAAAACGAGCCAGTGTACGTGCGTGGAATTAGTGTAAGCGTTCAAGACGAGCGCGCGCGGCGCGAAGGCGATAATCCAATTTCACAAATTGAACAGGACCCGGCCTCCATCCGTGTAAGTGGTGCAAGTTTTGATGACGAACGTGCGCGGCGCTAAGGGGAGAGCCATTTTTTGGAAACGATTCCCCCCTATCTCCATCTGGGACAGTTACCAAGAGGTCTCAGAGGAAACGTCTGGCCCAGCCTACGGACATGTTTGGTGGTGCGATAGGGAGTTGACCACCGTCCAGCTCATATAACAGGATTCAGAAGAATGCTCCGGAGGGGTAGGATTTTTGGATGTGGCGCGGACGTGCCTG